CTCTCTGTGACTCAGGACCAACTGTCTCCCCTATCCTTCCAGGACCGAAGCCAGGGCAGGAGTCACGCTTGCTTTCCTGTTTTTCTGGGGAGCCAGGGAGGGACAGTTACTGAGGTGGTTTGTGCCTGTGAGTCTGCGGAGAAAAGCAAAGGTGCGGGGCCGGCGTCCCCACGTGGCTGTCCTGGGACACCCCCCTCCACCCGTCACTGTCACTGCCGCCTCCCTCACGTCCCTTCCTCTCTCCTGCCACAGCCGCCAGCAGGGCGAGGGCAGCGGAGCCCATGGGTCTGGTGCAGCGTGTTCCATGGGCGCGTCTCCAGGGCGGGCTGGCTCCCTGGGCCCAGCACCTAAACTGATTCTGATTTGTGATCTTAGGGACCAGTTTTTGATGCTACAGTAACTTTCACCAACAACCGCAAGTTTTCCCTCAGCAAAATATAACTTAGACCCAAGCACTGCAGAAGCCCAGAAGGCTTCCGCGGAGGGGCCTGACCCCGCACGCGGACCTCCCCGGGCTCACAGAGGAAGAGGCGCTTGGACCCAGAATGCGGCAGCGCAACACTGACGCAGGTTCAGCAAGCCACACCGGCGGGCCCAGAGGCCCCCCCCAAGTGAGCAGCGGCGTGAGGGGCCTGGCCCGTCTGGCTTTCCTGCCTCGCCTGGCGCCCTCCGGCTCTGGATACCATCTCTCTGCAGTGACCCCACGCCCAGGCCGCAGACCAGTGTGTCCAACTGTCCGCCTGACATCTCCAGTCCAAGGGCACCCGCCTGTGGTCTGCCCCGCGCATGCGGACGCCATCCTTCTGTGGAGCAGGCCAAACCTCACAGTCAGCCCGGACGCCCCCACATCCAGTCTGCCAGGAAATGCTGTTAGCTCTGCTTCCAAAATAGATGGAAGATCTGACCATTTCCCACCACTTTGCTCCGAGCTACCATCATCTCCCACCTGGGTCACTGCACTTGCCTTCCTAATGGCCTCTGGCATCTGCCCTTGATCCTGCCAATGGCCAGAGCAGCCCTTCAAAGGCCTGAGTCACGTCACACGAGACCCCTCCTCGAAGCCATCCCCTCAAAGTCCTCCCCTTCTAGCTCAGAGTGCAAGCCTTAACCCCGCTCGTTGCTCTCTGACCTGTCTCCGCTCCGCCCCCAGCGTGGGTGCCCAAGCCTTGCAGGCTGCCCTCCTGCCTTCCTTCGCAGCTTTGCTGTGTTCAGATGCCACCTCCTCAAGGAAGCCAATCTGGCTTAAGACAGCATCTGCCTTCACCTCTCCCTGGCACCCCTGAGCCCCCTTGCCTGGCACTGTTTTTCCTAAAGCCGCTATCATCTCCTGACACACTGTATGGTTTCCTTATTTTCCATACTTATTGCATTGCCTGTGTCTGTTGTCCCTCTCCAAGACGCAAGCCCATGAGGGCAGGGGCTTTTGTTTTGCCCACTGATGGGTCCCAGGTGCCTACACTGGTGCTCAACACCCAGAGGGGAGGCTACAGATGCTGTAGAAGGAATGAGGGTTCCGGGTGGGTGGGAACTGCATCCCTGCGGGGGCACCACAGCCTGGCAGAGGCAAGGAGAAAATGGGAGACGAGTCTGAGTGTGGGGAGGGTCTGGAGGACAGTTAGGATGAACACGACATTCGGAAAGGGGGATGGGAGTTGATTCCTGGAGGTTTAAAGGCATCAAAGATGATGGGTTACAGGTGAAAAGCCCTCACGGATTCCAGGGAGGCTTAAAGTGGGGATTCTTTCCAAATGGACATCTCCGGGGATATATGTCTTGGATGACAGTGTGGCTAGAAAAATCTGGGAAGGCCTGGAAGAAAATCAGGGGAAGAAAACCTTGGGAAGGAAACCCTAGAGCTGCCCATAAGTTGCTAATGAACCAAAGGAGAAGCACGTGGGTGGAGCCAGCTACTTCTGAGGCCGGGCATTATTCTCACGTCATCTGTCCCCACAGTGCTGGCTGCTGAGCGCGGGTCAGGACAGGACTGTGCTTTTGGAACAGGCCTGTTGAGGCTTCAGAGTTAGGGGCCGTGGTCGGTGAGCTTGTGCTTGCTTTGGTCTGGCCGTCCCTGCTCAGCGTGTCTAATCCTGTCTGGGAAGCAAAGGCTCTGACAGCGTCTGTGGGGTGTCAGTTATAATTAGACTAATGAAATGATCTTGCCTGGAGACTGGGCCTGTTACACCAGCAGGGGTTTTGGAAAGAATGCCATTTGCTTGGGTGCCACGGTCTCTCCCATTCCACAGTGCCTTAGAGTTTACATTCAGTTTTTAAATAGATGCTCTTATTTGAGCTTCAAGACACACCGCTGTAAATATCACATTCCTCTGACAGATAAAAAACCTAAGTCTCTGGGCATTTTGGTAGCACTCTGACAGGAAGCAGCAGCGAGACGCAGCAACTTGCCAGTTTTCTGACTTCAAGACCAGCTCTCTCTCCCTCTCTAAATGACTTTCCTGCCTCGGGTGATGTGGATGTTTGTTCTTTCTGTGCAGAAGCCATGAGTTGTGTGGGAGAGGGTGAAAAAGGAGTCCAGAAATAGGGCTCCAGTCTCTGGACACCTGCTCTTGCTCTCAGCCACATACACTGTTGCCATCTCATCCCAGACAGTCCTTGAGTGTGACTCCAAACCCACAGCCCTCGCTCTGGAGCAGGTGAGACGGGGGCGCTGGGAGGGGGAGAGGTCCAGCAGAACTCTCAGCGTGCCGACAAATCATTCTTATTTAGAAAATGAAGAAAACGCCCTACGGTTATTTAAAACATCAATTACAGAATGTCAGGTTGGAATAAATCCTGGCTGGTGGCAGCACGTGGTTAGATAGAGGGGAACTCTGGCCTAGAGCCAAGTGAATTGGCCACCCCAGGAGGCCGGCAGAGAAAGGTACTTGATCTCTCCCTCCTCACCTGCAGCAGCAGCAAAGCGGGGATGAGTTCTAGCCCGGCAGAGTCGCAGGGCAGTTAAGAGTTAAGCGAGATGAATGCAAAAGTGGACCGCAAATAGAAAGCCCTTACACAAATGTCAGGGCTGCTGGATGAGTTCGGGTTCCCTCTCTACCCTCAACAGAGCCACTTTTTCTGCAGAAATTTTATATGCTAAAAAATGTTGGTTTTGCGTTTTTTTTTAAACATGGATATTTTGGGAGAAAATGGCAGGTTGAGTGCTAGGGTGTCTTGCCAACAGGGAGAAGAACCCCAGAGAATTCCCTGGGACTGCAGTGGGGCCTCTCTGCTCCCAGAGGGACGGCTTGCTGTCACCTTCCAGTATTTCCCTGCCACAGGGCTCTGGGTCCCTCTGCACAGCTTTGCACACGGATCTGCACTGCAGTGTGTAAAGGAAGCCCCCTGAAGGCAGGGCCCACTGCTGCCATTGCTCTCCCCACAGTCGCCCTCTGTTCAGGGCACGCATGGCACAAGCTCTGAGCACGGAAGCGCTGACCTTCAAACACAGGGGCTGGGATGGCACCTGGGAGACGGCTTAGGGCTGGTCCAGCCTGCACAGCTGGGAGTCCACTCAGGATGGAGGGTTGGGGGGAGGCTCAGAGCATGGGTAGGATTCACTGGAAGAAGTCACAGGAGAGTGTACACACACACACACACACACACACACACACACGCACACACACCACGAGACAAAGACAACCCACAGCTGTCGGAGACAGCGGGGCAATCAAATCTGGAGCTATGGGGTGAGTAGGAAAGGGGTGCCCAGCAAGTGTAACCCCTCTTCCAAAATCCATCTGCTGGCGAGTGGCAGATAGGCTTCCAATGGGGGCAGGGAGCAGCAGGTAAGGTAACATGGCAGTCTGGCTGACTGGAGGGGAGGTCAGGGCACGGGGCCACAGGTAGGTGGTCAGGTGGTTTCAAACACTTAGATCGAAACTCTAAAGCGTCTGCTCCGTGTTATTCAAGGTTCAGTGCATCAAAGGTCTATGCAAACATTACCAAATCTCTTAATTAAGGAACAATAATGACAAAAAACTTAAACGACACATGTTAAAGACTAACCGCAGAGGGCTTGCCTATAGATAGAGAGAGGAGATTTAAACATGCCAAGTAACAGAAACATGTGCGGGGGCTGGTAGGGACTGTATCGGAGGGACTGCAGCTCTGGGAGGAGAGGGTGGCAGGAGGCCCTCAGAGCTGGGCTCTGTCTGGGGCCAGGGAGCCAGGACCGGGATGTGCAGGGGGTCAGGGGATGGGGTAGGGGTGGGAGTGGAGAACCAGGTGGTGTAGGGGGAGTGAGGGGATTACATGGAGCTGCTTCCACAGCACCTGGGAGGAAAGGTCCACCCAGAAGAGCTCTCACCACCTCCAGAGAAGAGGTGTACAAACAAAAGTCCAAACGTGACTAGTTTTGTTCTCTCTCATAGGAGCCTGCAGGGGCAGGGCTGCCCACATAGGCTGCTGAAGCTAAACTGAAACAGAGCCCATTCGACGTAAGAGAACGGGCGCCTCAGGCAAGGGTGGGCCATGGCTGACGATGTAGGCAAAGTCCTAGCCTTAGCTTGGGCGTGCCCCTTTGAAAGAGTTCTCTTCCAAGGTGCTGTGGGGACGGAGGGGCAGGGGGGAGAGGCAGCAGGCTGGAGGAGAAGGTGGGGTCAGAAGAGGTTTGGGTCCCTGCCCCAGCAGCTGCCCAGCGTGGGAAACATCCTGTGTTTTCTCACTCCACGATTCCCAGAGCTGCATCTGCCTATACAGTGTGAGTCATGCCACGCTGGTTGTAAAGGGAGAGAGAAAAGATGCAGCAATCAAAACTTAAAAGGAAAGGGAAGTCCTGATGCGTTCCAAAGTTAAAAAAAAAAAAAAGAATAAAAAATATTTGAAAATAAAGCAACAAGAAGAAAGTCCTTTAAACCAATTTAAACAAACAAACAAACAAACAAAAAGATGAAATCAAAATAAGGAGGTGGGAGGAGAAAATAAAATGAAGGAAAAAAACCGGGGAAAGACAAATGAATGTTAGAGCAGGCACGGACAGTTAGGTACAGACGCCATGTACTTACGTTTACCTCGGTGATTGCTATATCAACAATGCTACCCACAACAATCAAGGCGTCAAATGTATTCCATGCATCACAGAAATAGTGCTGCATGGGGCAGAGAAGCCGAGGAAGAGAGAGAGAGAAGAGGAAAAAAAAAAAAAACCAACAACAAAGGAGAAAAACAAAACAAAAGGGAAGAGGAAAAATGAAAAAAAAAAAGGCATGAAGAAAGGGAGAGAAGAGAAAAAAAATGAGAAAAGAAAGAGGTTACGTGGGCATTTTAAATACTCTCTTACCACTCTACATCTCTGGCGGCTCAAACCTGGGTGACCCGGCTTTCGCAGGGTGCGGAGGCCTGATAAAAGCTGGGTTAGTTCAGAGGTGGTGCGGGCTGGGCCCTGGGGCCGGGCAGCGCTGTCCCCGCACCGCACCGCCGCTGTCCCCGCTCAGCCCCTCGCCCGGGCCCAGCGCGGCTGGGCAGAGCTGGGACAAGTGGAAAAAAAGGAGGAGAAGCTCCCACTTTTTTTCCCCACAGGACGACGGCAGGTTCAATATAAGGCATGACTGGAGGCGGGTAAAAACAGGAAATTAAAAACAAAATGAAAGGAAGTAAAGAGAGAGTGAGAAAGAGAGAGGCGGGAGGCAGAGGAGGAAGGACGAGGTTTCCTGGGGAGGGCAGAGTAATACTCACATTAGTCTCACTGAGAATGACGTCAATTATGCTGCCAATTACGATGAGGAAGTCAAAAACATTCCAGGGATCACTAAAGTAACCCTACATAAGGGAGGGGCAGGCAGGACGGGGATTAAAAAGGAGTATTAGACAGGCAAGAACAGAGCAACGTCACTACCAGAACCACTGCCGGCACTCGGGGCTGCTGCTGGAGTTCTGGGAGCCCTCGCTGCGGCAGGAGCCGAGGGGGCGCTCGTCCGAGCCCCCTGCCGCCTCCCCGCGGCCACGCGGCCCTGTCCTACAGACCCGCCCGCCCGGCTCGCTCCTCCGCAGGGCAGGAGTGGGTGTCGGGGGGGAGGCGGTGCAAGCCGCCGGGCTCCCGTGCCAGCCCACGCTCAGCGTCCCCCACGCCCCTCGTCCTCTCCCGCCACAAGGGCCACGAGGGAGGGAACCCACATGTGTGACCCCTTAGAGGTGGGTGGGCTGCAGTCTTACAGGTGAGGCTGGGAACGGAAAAGGCCCGGAAAGCCACAGCAGCCAGTGTGGGCCAGCAGGGGGGCCAGGTTATCTGGCCCAGCCGGGACTCGTGTCAAGCTCAGAAATAAAGAAAAGGACCAAATCGTTAAAACGAGATCTGTCATCAGCTGGACTCTATGCAGCCCTGGTTCCTGCACCGGACCCGCCCAGACGTTTCCAGGGGCAGCTCTACCTGGTGACATCTTTGCTAATTGAAAGGGGACAGGGTCCAGGTCCGCTCATGGTCTGGGGATGTGGCTCTAGACAGTGCTCTCTGGGGTGTCCCCTAAGCACCCCCCAGGCTCCTATCCTGGCGCCATCACTCTGATGCAAGGTCCTGCTGAGATGCACATGCCACCCGCAGCAAGTGACGTCCTTGACGCCTTTCCCGAGGACAGGCTGGCCGGGTAGGCTGGTGGGGCGTGAGGATACTGGCTCCCTACAGGGGGATGAAGGCAGCGGTGCCGTGGAGGAGCGACTCTGGCACGAAAGCGGAAGACCAGTGTCCTGACTTCGCCACTTTATCACGTAGGCGGGCATTTTATTTGTTTTATACCAATGTGGAGAAGGGAAGAGATGAATGTTCTTGAAAAACTTAGTTGAAGTACTCGGACAACTGGTCAACCAAGGCATGGGTGGTCCCAGATGCCCGGTAGGGCCCCAGGAGGCCTGGACGGGTCTCTCCACACAGAGCACGGGCGTCTTGGCCTGGACCATGTCCTCTCTGGGAGGGGGGAGCCTAGACAGCCAAGTCTGTGGCCACGTGGGGCAACCACAGCTCAGGAAGCCCCAGGAACAGGACGGTCACATTTCCCACAGGTGGGGTGCAGGGGACCCAGTACTGAAGAGATTTGTCTTCTTTAAGAAAGGACATTTGCTCCTTGGTTTTTCAAGGAATGTTGTGCAAAGGGGACAAGCTGGGACTGGCCACTTTTGTTCAGCAGGACCAGCATTTTCCTGTTCTCTGGGCTTCCAGGAGACGGAATTCTAGAGGCTGGTGAGCGGGTATCAAAGCAGGAAGGGCCTCTCAGAGGGCCCCCGCTCTCTCCCAGCTCTCCCGAAGGCCGCCAACCGGCCATCTGATTTTTCACTCATGAGAGCCAAGAATCTGTGCTCTCCCATTTCCGCCCGGCTCTATCCAGTCCTAAACTTCCCACTCCCGGCCATGCCCTCTTTCCAGAGGGACGCAAGACATGCTGTCCTGGGGCTGTTATTCTTAGCGTGGGAGGTCAGGTCACGGGGAAGGGGCCTCTGGGTTCCCAGGCATTTCTGCCAAAAGAAAACAGAAGCGCCACCGAGCAGACCGGACGGCCAGACAGGGGAGCGGAGGCTGGCCAGGGCATGGGTCAGGTGAGGTCAGCCTGGAATCGTGGCTTGCTTGTCCTTGGTAGAGCACTTGTCTGAATCTACCAGAGCCTTGGAGGCAGAGACTTCTCTCTCCCATTTAAGTCACATGCTATGAGAAGGAAACAGCCAGTTTCCTCCCAGGTCTCAGATATCACTCCCGGGGCAAAGGGGAACGCTGACTTTGGGGGAAGGGAGGTAGAGAGTGAAGACCCCAAAGAACTATAAATATACACGTGTTTCAGAATTAGATTTTGGAAAACACTGGGGGGCTATCTCGACAGGAATGCTGTCTTGAGGGTAGAGCTATTTCAGGAGGGGAGGGAGGGAGTCAAGGAAGAGAAGGGAGAGAAACAGAACAAGAGCAGATCCAGGAGGGCTCGGTGGCAGCCTAGAAAACGTGTAAGGAAACGTTATTTGGGTACGGGGGCCGGCGGGGAGAGAGGAAGGTGGGAGCCTCAGTGCTCAAGAAAGGAGGATGGGCTGGAATCTTTTCATCCACCAGAGAGACCTGAAACAGAACGGGTGAGCGGGCCTTGGTCTGCAGCACCTCTGAGAGACGGGAGGGAGAGGACGGATGCACAGAGATCAAAGCCAGGACAACACACACGGGTTTATCGGTGGGCACGTGCCGGGGGAAAGGGACCCTGGCACCCTCCTGGCTTTGCGTCCCTGGCCACCCTTTCTCCCAGATTTCTTTGTAGACGCGCAGCCAGAAGGAAAACACAAGACAGGCGGCTCCTCCTTGGCTACGGCCCTCCCCAGCCCATGGCACCACGCTGGCCCCCGAAGGACGGGCTGGGCTCTGCGGGGATCAACGCCTCATGCCTCCCCCACCTTCACCAGGCTTCGCTGCCGGAGGCTTTGGCTGACTTCTGCATCCTGTGGCAGGCTACCCAGTGGGCCTCCACCGGCGGTAGAAACCAACCAGTTCCCTTGTCACCAGGACCCAGCCCTGAGATTTACGCAGAGCTAGCAGGGGTGAGGGAGCGTGTCTAGGGGGCAACAGGGTCCCTTTCAGAGGCAGCTTCCACCCTGACCCACACACCCGCCTTCCCACCCTCTGTACCAGGAACCCAGCATCCTCCCAGCTTGGCCACGAAGAGGGGTTCAGGGCCAGCTTCCAGGTCTCCATCCCCTTTGTCAGCCCCTCCCCGCACCACTTGAATAGCCCTTTCCTCCCACCGGTCCACACCCTTCCCAGAAACATGGCCCGTGTCCTCCACTTTGGTCAACCCCTAAGTGGGTGGGTCCTGGGAAGACTGTTTTTCCCTCTGGAGTGTGAGTGCTTGGTGTCCTTTGTCTCTCTCATATACCAGTCTTCGGCCATCCCTCATTCGCTGGGAGCCATTGGTAACAGGGGTTGTAGGGTGTAATGGAGGACAGAGGTGGGAAAAGTCATAGACTTTTCTTATGAAGTCAGTTTGACCTGGAGCCAGGTTATGCCTGTTGCCCCTTATTTCTCGGGTGACTGGGTCCCAAATGGTTGGGAAGTCAGGGTTGGGGAAAGGGTTTTCCTGGCTCTCCTTGAAGTGGCAAACCAAACCTCTTCATGTCCAGCTCCTCAGAGCCAAGCAAGGCAGGCCACCCTGAAGGGGCAGTGTTTTCGCTGCTGGAAGCTTTCCCTGCCATCCCCAATCCTACAGACTGAGTGGATTTCCCCTTCCAAAGGCTCAGCCTCTGCGGATGTGTTCAGAAGGGGGGCCTCTTCTCTGCCATGCCAGGGAAGGCCTCGTGGGCACCCCCAGGCGACAGGCCTCGCCCCCTGCCAGCCCGGAGCTGCTCACACCCTAGGCCAGATGGGTTCTCCTGACCGTTGCTGAACCTCCCTCACTCACAGGTGTGGGCTGAGCAGACGTAGACCAAACTGATATCAGCTTCAGAAAATCACCACTGGGACGGGAAAAGTGCTGCAGAATATGATGCGTCTCACATGCACGAGAACTTTGATCTTCTCTTTTGGGTTATCTGTGCCCTGATTGGGCGCCATCATTGAAGGTACACCAAGCTGAAAGAGGCAGTGGCTCAGAGCTTGGCCTCTGGAGGTAGACTGTCTGGGCTCCACTACTACCGGTGCCACTTACCAGCTGGGTAACTGTGAGCAAATAATGTAACCTCTCTTTGCCTCAGTTCTCCCACCTAGAAAATGGGACAAACCGTAGAGTTAAGGTGAGGATTAAATGAGACCACAGATCCAAAGCACACAGAACTGTGTCTGATCTGAAGTCAGCTCGAGATGAGTATTAGCCACTGTCGTCACTAACCAGCGTTTCTCTGCCTCCCTCCTAGAGCGGGAGGAGGACTCACAGGTTCAGTGGGATGTGGCGCTGAGCAGAGGAGAAGCAAAGCCCAGGTGGTGGAGGGAGGGGAGGACGCTGGAGGCTCCGGGATCTTGAGCCTCTTGTAGCGTGTTTCAGGCCTCTTCCACCCACCCTCCGGGGCACTGATACCAACACTTTTGGATGAAGTCTGGACGGTGCTGTTTGAGATTGGTGGCAGGCCGCAGGGTGTCAGGGCTGAATTTGGTAGACTCGAGTTCATGTGGACAGTTAACTGCCCGGTTCCTAGAAAC